TTCTATTAAGACTTAAAGGTTCAGAGTTTTGGTGCCATCTAGTGGATTTTGAATTGCAGCCAGTGGCTCGCGGTGAATTCAGGTGCTCCATTGGACTTGAAACTAGCGACTGAGACCATAAACTCATCATGAAAATGTTTACTGAGGGAATAAATCAGCTGAGAAGTGGAAACATTTTCTCATAGACTTCTTTCTGCAGCCGGTGGAGTCGCCCCCTGCTGGTTGCTGGAGAGGACGCAGGTTTAAGTCGCCCCCTGCTGGTTGCTGGAGAGGACGCAGGTTTAAGTCGCCCCCTGCTGGTTGCTGGAGAGGACGCAGGTTTAAGTCGCCCCCTGCTGGTTGCTAGAGAGGACGCAGGTTTAAGTCGCCCCCTGCTGGTTGCTGGAGAGGACGCAGGTTTAAGTCGCCCCCTGCTGGTTGCTAGAGAGGACGCAGGTTTAAGGCGCCCCCTGCTGGCTGCTAGAGAGGACGCAGGTTTAAGTCGTCCCCTGCTGGTTGCTAGAGAGGACGCAGGTTTAAGGCGCCCCCTGCTGGCTGTTAGAGAGGACGCAGGTTTAAGTCGCCCCCTGCTGGCCGCTAGAGAGGACGCAGGTTTAAGTCGCCCCCTGCTGGCCGCTAGAGAGGACGCAGGTTTAAGTCGCCCCCTGCTGGCTGCTAGAGAGGACGCAGGTTTAAGTCGGCTCCCTGCTGGCTGCTGGAGAGGACGCAGGTTTAAGTCGCCCCCTGCTGGCTGCTGGAGAGGACGCAGGTTTAAGGCGCCCCCTGCTGGTTGCTGGAGAGGACGCAGGTTTAAGGCGCCCCTGCTGGTTGCTAGAGAGGACGCAGGTTTAAGTCGCCCCCTGCTGGTTGCTAGAGAGGACGCAGGTTTAAGTCGCCCCATGCTGTCTGCTAGAGAGGACGCAGGTTTAAGGCGCCCCCTGCTGGTTGCTAGAGAGGACGCAGGTTTAAGGCGCCCCCTGCTGGTTGCTAGAGAGGACGCAGGTTTAAGTCGCCCCCTGCTGTCTGCTAGAGAGGACGCAGGTTTAAGTCGCCCCCTGCTGTCTGCTAGAGAGGACGCAGGTTTAAGTCGCCCCCTGCTGGCCGCTGGAGAGGACGCAGGTTCAAGTCGTCCCCCCTGCTGGCCGCTGGAGAGGACGCAGGTTTAAGTCGCCCCCTGCTGGCTGCTAGAGAGGACGCAGGTTTAAGTCGCCCCCTGCTGGCCGCTAGAGAGGACGCAGGTTTAAGTCGTCCCCCCTGCTGGCCGCTGGAGAGGACGCAGGTTTAAGTCGCCCCCTGCTGGCTGCTAGAGAGGACACAGGTTTAAGTCGCCCCCTGCTGGCTGCTAGAGAGGACGCAGGTTTAAGTCGCCCCCTGCTGGTTGCTGGAGAGGACGCAGGTTTAAGGCGCCCCCTGCTGGTTGCTAGAGAGGACGCAGGTTTAAGGCGCCCCCTGCTGGTTGCTGGAGAGGACGCAGGTTTAAGGCGCCCCCTGCTGGTTGCTAGAGAGGACGCAGGTTTAAGTCGCCCCCTGCTGGTTGCTGGAGAGGACGCAGGTTTAAGTCGCCCCCTGCTGGTTGCTGGAGAGGACGCAGGTTTAAGGCGCCCCCTGCTGGTTGCTAGAGAGGACGCAGGTTTAAGGCGCCCCCTGCTGGTTGCTAGAGAGGACGCAGGTTTAAGGCGCCCCCTGCTGGCGGGGGCGGCTGTGGCTCAGGAGGTAGAGCGGGTTGGCTGTTAATCGGAAGGTCGGCGGTTCGATCCCTGGCTCCCCCTGGTTGCGTGTCGAAGTGCCAGTGTATGAATGAGTGTGAATGTTAGTTTCCGTTTGAGCACTTAGGCTCAGTGTATGAATGTGTGTGACTGGTGAATGCAGATGTAGTGTAAAAGCGCTTTGAGTGGTCGAAAAGACTAGAAAGGCGCTATACAAATACCGAACATTTACATGTTCATGTGCTCTTAAAGCTTGATTTACAGTTCAGCTCCAGCATCAGGGCTACACGTGTTGCTATGCCAGGCATTTATACTTGTGCGTCGGTGTCTCCATCATTCTGCAGTTACACCGTATGTTTGGGCTCCTGTAGAAACATGGCGACCTGTAGGAGGCCCGGTTCATTCTGTGAGCTCACTGAGATCTTATATTGATTCTGTCAACAGGTCCTCAGAAATGTTACACACTGGACCTTTAAAGTAAATCATTGTGTGTTGATGTTTCGGGACTTGCAGTTCGTGTTTCTACCTGTAACGCTGTATGTAGCCTGTGTTAGCATTAGCACTGTGCTAGCTGCTGTTTCTCACTTGATTATGTGTCACGTTAGCTGTAGGTCAAAGGTGGTGTTTGAGTGTTTTATTCAGCTTTATTTCTACATCATAATAATAATAATGATGATAATGATGATAAAACACATCAAACAAATAAGATATAAATTGAAAAAGCAGGAAGAAAGTTAAGAAGTTAAAATAAATGAATAAATAAATGAATATACATGTTGAATATAAAGTGAGAAGCGGTCAGGACGGCGTGGCGACGACCTTTCTACTCACCTGATCCACTCACATCCTCCACTGCTGGTGTTTACCAGTTAGGAAACTATCTAAGCACATGTACACAGACTCTTCAGAGCCAATCAGATCATCGATTTCCTGAAGGACAGGTTAAAGACTGTCATCAGCTGATCACAGTGAATATCAGCTGGTTGTTGCAGCTAACAGAACGTTAAAGCTTTGTCTTCAGTCCAGTTGACAGCTGAGTCAGCAGGTTGTGTCCTTAGATGGCGAGGAGACGTTCAGTCCGACACCTCGCACTGACTCATCTCTGCTAAACAAAGTCAGCTGATGATTCATCTGAACTGGTTTTGTACCAGTTTTAAGTTGACATGACGAACCAGTGGAAACGGTGTTGATCCAGAGAGACACAGAGCTGAGAGGGAAAACGGGTGAAAACATAAATAGAGTTTGGTGCAGAGGGAGAGAGAGTCATGTGAGAGGAGGACACACACAGTACAGACTCAGTGCTGGAGTTAGCTGCTGTTAGCTTAGCATTGGGCTGCACAGCACTCCACAGTGATCCCTGCCGCTAACATGCTAACAGACTGAGGAGAGGAAACGTCCAGCTGCTGTGAGGGTGCAGACAGAAAGTTAGACAGGACTAAGTTTAGTCTGGTTTAAAGTCAGACTAAGAAAGAGACACCGATTGGACAGGAGACTTTGTTCTGCTCAAGCAGAAGTCCAGACTCTTCAGGCCTCTTTTAAGCAGCATGGATCAAGACGTAAGTGTGAGTGCTGTTAAAATGTCACAAGTTTAAGTCTGTGCCTTTCAAATTATCTCGTGTTCAGACCCAAACCACCAACATGTCGGTCCATCCTCACAGATATAAAGTTAATGTTTAAAAGGCTCAGTTATTTCCTGCAACAGCCGCTCACTGTAGTTTATATCCAACAAGCAGGAGGAACTAGAGCTTCTGCTGGGGACTAGTTTCAGCGGCGGATGAACGTCGCTCTAATGCTTTGATTCCCAACGAGGGGAATGATTTGATCATTTACACAGATCAGCCATAAGTTTCTGATCACCTGGTCACCTGTCAGTGGGTGGGGTCTGTCAGGCAGCAGGCGAACATCGTGTCCGCAGAGTTGATGTGTTCGAAGCAGGAAAAGGGACAGTGTGAGGATCTGAACCACACTGTGGTCAGAACATCTCCAAACCGGTCTGCAGGGGTCAGAACCTGGCCTGTGTGGTCTGATCCGGCAGACGAGCTGCTGTAGGTCCAACTGCTGAAGAAGTTGATGCTGGTTCTAATGGACAGGGGTCAGAGCACACGGTGGAGTCCAGTCCAGGGGGTCATAATCTTATGGCTGATCTGTGTATATCCACATATTTGTGTTTAGGAGAAAATCTTCTTTTTAGTTCTTGTCAACTGTGGCCGTCTGGCTTCAGATTTCCACCAACCTGAGTCAGAGAAAGTCGATAAAGAAAAGCTAAAAGTAAAGATAAATGTTAGAAACGGCCAGAATCCAAGTACAAATGCACACTTGGCCAAAACTACAAGAAAATACAGTAAATCCACCAGAGGGATACGATAACAGGGAACTTTCTGACAGTCCGTCAACAAACTCCCATGTGTTCATGGTGATGGAGGAACACGTCACCCAGTCCGGCTCTTTGTTCAGGGGATGTAAGGAGGTTATCAGGGTCAGTTTTGGCTGACAGGGTCCTGAAGTGGTTCCAGGAGTATTTAAGAGATATCTTTGTTTTAGAAGGTTATTGAAGGAATCCAAGGTCATCAGTCACTCAGTCATAGTTATCCAAGGTGGTTTACGATCGACGGCAACTGGACTCGGTAGAAGATACCTGAAGACATTACACCGCTGATCCGAGTACGGACGCACCAATCCCACTTTTTCTGTCCAAATACCAAAACCTGGGCTTCGGGTATCAGCCGATGCCAAGTACTGATCCGTCACCAGTGTTAAGTAAATACTGTAAAACTAACAGCTGCCTCCCGTTTCCTGGCCTGCATTAGACGCACGCAGGTCTCCATTAGAAGCCTGGTCTGGTGTCTATAGATGTTCTCTGGATGTATAAAAGCTGTTAAACCCAGCGGGGTCGCCGCTTCAGCTGCTCGATCAAATGAATGATTTGATATAATAATTTTTACACAAGTAATATTCATACTGGTTGGAACAGCATGATAGCAGCTGACTTCAGCTTTGTGTGAGTGGAATTAAAGGCCTGCCCCAAATAAAGGCCGGGCTGTTACGTATGTTATGTGTGAGGCAACAACAGGCTTCACTTAGACATCACTTCCTGACTTTGTAAAACAAAATGCTTTGTTAGGTCTCCCAACAAAATGTTCGGGTCTACCGGCGCCCTGCTGATGCATTAGTGGTACCCGCGGAATAATATCGTGTATCAGCTGTTTGAGTCCCTGTCCATCAGGCTTCTTCAGTTCTTTTCCTGAAGAGCCGTTCACCCTGGATGTTAATTTACTGTCTGAGAGAAACTAATAACTGATGACCTTTTCCCTCCAGGTGACCTTGGAGAAGGTTCTGGGTATCACAGCTCCAGGGAACCGAGCGTTGGCCTGCGACCCCCGGACCGGACTGCTGGCGTATCCTGCCGGGTGAGAGACCCTCTGATTTTTACTGATTTTGTCGTCCTGTTATTTTCGGCGGTATCTAAGCAGCTGACCTGTAAACCCTGGAAATATTTTAAACATTAACTTAAGTAGAATCAGTGAAAAGACTCGACTGCCTGTCGAAGAGTAGCCAGACGGCCGCCCACCCCGAGTCCTGCTCGAGGTTAAGGCCTGTTTGCACCTTTGTCCCTGCGAGCTTTCCTTTCCACTGTGGCCAAGTGCTGCTCATGGTGGGAACTGTTGGGTCTCCATGTCACGGAGAGTCTGTCTGTCTGAAGCATGAGTGCAGGACACCGACACGCAGCTGATGCGTATGATAATGTATAAATACTGCGTTATTGTACTGAATGTTTCCAGCTGAGGGGATCGGACAGAGGAACAAAGTCCAGCAGGAATGTAAGGCTCTCTCTGTGGTTCTCAGGACTTTAAAGTTTAATGACATGATCAGATTATCAGATTATCAGATTATCATCATGTGTTTAAAGAGACAACACACACAGCGGCCCATCAGGAGCCTTGGGACTGATATTTACCCAGAGGCTGCAGGATTTTACCCTTCAGCAGGGCCCTGAACCCACAACCACCTGGGGGGCTCCTGTGGGATCTGTTGTAGGTCTCTTTGGGGCTTTGAAAGGGTTCTCAAGGTTCTTAAAGGTTTCTTATTAATTTTCTTAAAGGTCATGTTGGTTTGAGGGGGCTGCAGGAGTTCTTGGTGGGTCTCTACAGTCTTTTAGGGGTTCCAGGGATCAGTGAGGGTGTTTCAGAGGTGATCGTCCAATGAAAAGCTTTCTAATTTTTATGACGCCACCGGAGTGTAGTGTTTCTGGTAGTGTAGTATTTCTGGGGCTGAGTGGACCCTCACTGATTACGGTACAAAAACGTCTTTGTTAACTGATTTTGGAGAAATCGATACTTCCTGGTTCTCTGTCTGGTGTCCCCGGCTTTCCTGCCTCAACTATCTGTGATTTACGGATTTACGGTTCGCTGATGAACAGAGAGCTTTACTTGTTGTTATAGTAACGGCTAGTTAGCTCAGTTAGCGCTCACATTAGCCGGCTCTGCCTGGACTGGGAGCTCGGAGCACTGGGGCGTGTTGTTGTTTAACGTTACACTTCTATTATCACTCAAGCCATGGAGGTTTGTAAGGTTTATGTCCAGGGGCGAGCGGGCCATGAAAGCGGCCTCGGAGTGAAGCCTGAACAGGAGCAAACACAGCCTCAAAGACCAACAGGGAACACAGCACCGAGGGTTTACAGAGATTCAGGGAGGACAGAGAGATTCAGTTTTTGTTGCTAACAATCTGTCTGCATCTGTAGCTAGTTAGCTCAGTTAACATTAGCCGGGCTGCTAGCGGTCCTAATAGCTGACTCTGGTCCCGGGGTTCCCAGAGCCAAACCCGAAGAAATCCACCTCGGTAGTGTATTCCCTCTCGTCAGACTGGTCTCTGTTGGTCTTGGAGGATGGCGTTTGGTCCCGGCTGCCGTGGTCACTCGGCGGGAGCTGGAACTGGTCTGCACAGAGTCTGCATGATGGGGTGCGGGCGTAACGCAGATTCAGCGCTATTGGCTACTGCAAACGTCAATCGATATTTAAGTCCGTCCCTAGCTTTGTGTTTTAACAGGAAACACGTACATATACGGAAGCAAAGAGCGCTCCGGTTTCTGTTTCGTGGGAACTTTACAGAGGATTCTTGAGAGGGTTCCAGGAGTTCTTGGGTGGGTGTCTCAGTGGAGTATCAGAGGGCTTTTACGGGGTCCAGGAGGTCCTCCGGGGGATTCCACTGGTTTCTGAAGAGTCAACAGTGGAAATGATTACAGGGTCACAGGGTTACAGAGGTCTCAGCAATCCATGGCCATGCTGGGCGTCCAGGTGGTTCTTTACTGAGCGGGAGTTTTTGAAGCTGTTTTAAAAAGATCTTTGGAAGTTTTCGGGGGTTCCTGGATCCCCTATAACAGGCTGCAGGTGGTGCAGGGTGGAGCTCCGTCAACAAATAAATAGTAAACTCTGAGGCGTCTGTGGGCTCAGCTCAGGCTGCCCGCTGTGTTTATTAGGGTGTCCTGGTAAAGTTTCACATCTTAAAGTCATCAGCAGACCGAAGCTGGAGGGAGGAGACGGATGTTAAACATTGTGTACCGGGTGTTTGTTGCAGTCGAGGGTTTGTCTTGGAAATATAAGATGGTAATGTGTAAATAATAATAATGTAAATAAAATATTCTTCAATGCAGCTGGGGATAAAATGAAAAAGTTATTCCTAAAAAGTCTCGCAGGGGGCGAAACAACAAGAAAATGTACCATTAATCTTTTCAGGTTTAAAAAATAAACTAATATGTGGTGACACAGAGGAAGAGGCAGACCTTCATCGGTGAATCAGAGGTCACACGTTTGTTTAAATCTCTCTGGATGAGTCTGAACCCAGAGGAATGATGGGAATGTAAGAGGGCGAGCAGTGGAAGGCACCTTCCCAAAGCCGCAGAGAGTCCCACAGAGCCGGCCAATCAGCCGGGCCGTTGGAGCTGTGGGGCTGCTGATTGGTCGGTTTTGTGTTCAGATCAGAAGATTCAGATTCAGTTTACAGATGAAGAGACGTGAAGTGGGTCAGTGGAGCGACAGGGAGGGAGGCTGGGGGGGGGGCGGCAAATGTAGGTTAGTACATGTAGAGAGAGAGATTCACAGAGAGAGAGAGAGAGACATTCACACACTGAGAGAGAGAGAGAGACATTCACACACAGAGAGAGAGAGACATTCACAGAGAGAGAGAGAGAGACATTCACACACTGTGAGAGAGAGAGAGACATTCACACAGTGAGAGAGAGAGACATTCACACACTGAGAGAGAGAGACATTCACACACTGTGAGAGAGAGAGACATTCACACACTGTGAGAGAGAGAGACATTCACACACTGAGAGAGAGAGACATTCACACACTGTGAGAGAGAGAGACATTCACACACTGTGAGAGAGACATTCACACTGTGAGAGAGAGACATTCACTGTGAGAGAGAGAGAGACATTCACTGTGAGAGAGAGACATTCACTGTGAGAGAGAGAGACATTCACACACTGTGAGAGAGAGAGACATTCACACACTGAGAGAGAGACATTCACACACTGAGAGAGAGACATTCACACTGAGAGAGAGAGAGACATTCACACACTGAGAGAGAGAGACATTCACACACTGAGAGAGAGAGAGAGAGACATTCACACACTGAGAGAGAGAGAGAGACATTCACACACAGTGAGAGAGAGAGAGACATTCACACACTGAGAGAGAGAGACATTCACACACTGAGAGAGAGAGAGACATTCACACACTGAGAGAGAGAGAGACATTCACACACTGAGAGAGAGAGAGAGAGACATTCACACACTGAGAGAGAGAGACATTCACACACTGTGAGAGAGAGACATTCACACACTGTGAGAGAGACATTCACACACTGTGAGAGAGAGACATTCACACACTGTGAGAGAGAGAGAGACATTCACACACTGAGAGAGAGAGAGACATTCACACACTGAGAGAGAGAGACATTCACACACTGTGAGAGAGAGACATTCACACACATTGAGAGACATTCACACACATTGAGAGACATTCACACACATTGAGAGACATTCACACATTGAGAGAGAGACATTCACACATTGAGAGAGAGACATTAACACACAGAGAGAGAGAGACATTCACACACAGAGAGAGAGAGAGACATTCACACACTGAGAGAGAGAGAGAGACATTCACACTGAGAGAGAGAGAGAGACATTCACACACTGAGAGAGAGAGAGACATTCACACACTGAGAGAGAGAGAGAGAGAGACATTCACACACTGTGAGAGAGACATTCACACACTGTGAGAGAGACATTCACACACTGTGAGAGAGACATTCACACACTGTGAGAGAGACATTCACACACTGTGAGAGAGACATTCACACATTGAGAGAGAGACATTCACACACTGAGAGAGAGAGAGACATTCACACACTGAGAGAGAGAGAGAGACATTCACACACTGAGAGAGAGAGAGAGACATTCACACACATTGAGAGACATTCACACACATTGAGAGACATTCACACATTGAGAGAGAGACATTCACACATTGAGAGACATTCACACACTGTGAGAGAGAGACATTCACACACTGAGAGAGAGACATTCACACACTGAGAGAGAGAGAGACATTCACACACAGTGAGAGAGAGACATTCACACACTGTGAGAGAGAGACATTCACACACACAGAGAGAGACATTCACACACTGAGAGAGAGAGACATTCACACACAGAGAGAGAGAGAGAGACATTCACACACTGAGAGAGAGAGAGAGACATTCACACACTGAGAGAGAGAGAGACATTGACACACTGTGAGAGAGAGAGACATTCACACACTGAGAGAGAGACATTCACACACACAGAGAGACATTCACACATTGAGAGAGAGACATTCACACATTGAGAGAGAGACATTCACACACATTGAGAGACATTCACACACTCAGAGAGAGAGACATTCACACACACAGTGAGAGAGTTTTTCAGCCTTTTCCTTACAGACGACAGATGGAGTCTCGCTGCTTTACATCTGAAATATTTCAGTTCCAACAAACCCAGCAGCTCATTTTACTCCTTTATATTCTTCTACTAGTTTCACCTGTAACGATGGAAAATATTTAACAGACTAAAGCTGTGATTACTGTAGAGCGTCTGAGGAGCATGAAGATGAATAAAGAAATCTGAGTGGACATAAACGCAGCATTAAAAAACAATAAATCAGATTAAATCCTCTCCCTCCGTTATATTTGATTTAGTATTAAATATGAATTAAAGTAAATATGTTATCAGGACATTCAAGGAAGGAATTTATAATGTTATTAATTATTATTGTGAAATGGAAAAGACAAGAAAGAAATGGAGAGAGAGGGCGAGAGAGCTCTCCTCCCCTCTGCAGCTCACTCTGATTTTCCTGCTGCA